ATGATCACTGAGTGGCTGGTGGGAGGGTGAGTCTGAGAAGGAGCAACACCTTTCCTAACAGACTACAAAACCTTTACCTCTTAAAGGTAAATTGTTTCTTCTTCACAATTCATATGATTCTTTTGAAGATAAGCTTAAGAAATGAATCCTTTTGCAATCATCTAGAGCAAATGGCTTCCACTCCCAAGCAAATCTAAGAGGTTGTCCCGGCATTGATGTGTCCAGTCCATGCACACAGGTAATGCCCAAAATTAGCATGTTGTGTAAACGAAACCAGTCAGAGATCCATCTTTGAAAGAAATCCAGAGCAGACAGGCTCTGTTGGAGTTGCCTTAAAAAAATAAAAACACACAGGCAAACTAATTTAACTCTCAGATAAAATACATACTTTATTACTATCCAGAGTGATTGAATCAGATGGCAGCGTGGAAAAATAACAAACTCCCTGGACTTGTTTCCCTAGAAGTGTTATTATTAAACAGGAAAAGCATTTAAAAAATAGCTTCTAGATTTGTTTTATGGGTGGTATTATGAACTGTACCAATACCCAGCGCTGGACTCAGTTACATGTGTAGGCCTAATAAGAAAACAGGAGTTAAGTCTATCAAAGAACCATATTTAAATGCTCACAGAAACCAGTAATTCTCAGAGACTTTCCAGTTAAGAGTCTTCTATGGGGGGGCAAAAAGTTGTATATTCCAACTTACTCATATTAAGATATCACCTCACCAAAGTGAATGAGAGAACAAGATTGCTTTCAACATAAAAACACTACACCCATGAGCACGGTGGCAGATTATTAGGTTTTTGGAGATGGGCATGATGTGAAAACACACATTTGTAGAGGATGGAACCTAAAAACCCCAAAACAAGTAGTACAATGATGTAAGCCAACTTCACCTAAATAAACATTTAAAAATAACAATGTTCTTGTTACTAAATATTATATTAAATCATTCCAGAAAAGTTACTGGGCATCAAACCATGCATACTAGTACTACAAAGACCAAATCCTTTCCCATAAAATCCTCTATCCTTTCCACAAGTTTTTTGCAAAACTTTTGCAATTGTCTTTGAGAACCACAATATTATTTGTCCATTTTATTGGAGATCATGGTTTCTCTCTAAATAATCTTTTATAGAAGAACTACTATTTTTGTTCTGTCTCTGCCACTATGGAATGTTACAGACCCAATCAAAGTTTGTCAAAGAAAAAACAGTCTGCCTTTTGAAAGTGAATAAAATGTTCGTTAACTTTGGGTACATTTTCTCTTTCTTTTTTTTTAAAGATTTATTTTTATGCAAGATTTGGGGTACAGGTCAGAGATGGGGGGGTGAGAGGATTCACCAGAGACAGAGTGGAGAACAGAACAGGCAGACGGACTGAAGTACACTGCTGAGGGGAGCAGCGGGCGAGACAGGAGAGGTCTGTCCCGCCATCTGGGTTTCTCCCTGGCCGGCAGGGAATCGAACTCGTGCTGCAGAGGCTGCGGATTGCTTCATAGGTTGCGTCTTAACCCCTGCGCCACCAGGGAGGCCTACATTTTCTCTTTCAATCCAACCATCTAGATCTAAATTAAGGTACCCTACTTTGAACATGGTGTGTTCACCATCTGGCTACCCAAAAGCAGCAATTACTTCAGGTAAATGAACATTCTACCTAATTCTAAGCAAGTATATCCTACTATAGGATGCTACAGAAAGGAAAAAAATAAACACCTTTCATTTGCCTACTGCATGCCTATTTAAGGAAAAAGTGAGAATGTGTTCTGTTTAATGGAGATAATTTACTATTATGTGTAAACATTTCAAATTTAGGTGAATTTATTTATTTGCGATATTCAACAAGTGAAGAGATTTCCCTTTGTTCAAATAGTCAACTGAGAGCAGAAGCTCTACCTCAAGTAAAGGAACCCTGAGCATCAATGGGGGGGCTTGTCTTTTAACTTTTTTCCATAGCAATATGGGAACTAGGAAATGTAAGTGCTTCTAGTAGGACAAAAACAGGTCCCCTCCAATACCTAGTTGGGGTTAAAACTGTCCCAGGATCAAAAGTATATAGCACATAATGAAATCTAATTTTCCTTCACTCACCCAAATCCTTTATTTTAGACCACTGAAGAATGAGCTGAAAACTCAAGGTTGATTGGGTATTAATAAGTTGTTCCATGTAGGCGAAGTAAGGTATGGATTGAATTGTACTATTGCTCTTTTAAACATTTCAAGTAGCTCAATGTGACTCCCCAGTGGCAGATTAAATATTTATTTTCCTTACAGAAATTATCTGATAATTAAATAGGCAAAAAACATGATTAACTAAAGACCAAGATATTTAATCATTAATCAAATGAAAATTATCTGTGTCCTTGTGGAAAGTAAATTTTGAAATGTCAACTGATACTGCATTTTAGAAACAAAATCATCACCAACAAAAATGCAGCCCTAAATTCTTGATATTGATACATTTAAAAATTCTCCCAATAGTCATAGTAACAACAATGGCTTCAAATAAAAATTAACTAAACATATGTAAAGATGACATAATTGTGAAAGTTTATTAGATTTCCCTTGCCTTATCAACTCCAGTAGAAATATCCAAGAAATTATCATATTCACTCTCCTAATGAAGCAAACAGAATAAAAAACAGAATAAAAATTTTCTCTAAGACATTTAAAATATAACCATCCCACAATCTCCACAAACACTGCAACCTGATTTCTGTTGGGATCCAGAATTTAGCTACATGTGCAGAAGGTTAAACTTTCAACCAAGTTATTCACATCTTTGGGGAAAACTGAAGGAAATAATTTAAATACAAATATGTGCTAGGAGTAAAAAAAATCAGTTCTGGGTCAAACAGAAACATCTGATCTATTTAAGAGTCCTGTTAATTTGAAGTCACTGACCAAAACAAGTTCAATCCACCACAGATATTTTGGCATGCCTCAAAAATCAGGACTGGTTGGAAGTATTTCTTTCACCACCACAAGATTTATCAGCAAGGATGTGCAACTCCCACTACTGACATCTTGACATAACACTCTTGTTTCTAACCATAACATGCAAATTTGTCTTCTATTCCTTACCCCACAGTTGATGTGATTGGGGTTTAAAAAATAATTTTACTTGTATTCTTCAGGATATATCAGAAGGGAGAATACATGGAGAAATGGGATTAAATTACCCACATCTAATCTTCAGCATTTGAAGGTGAATCATTTATACATTCACTTACAGGAAGCTTCATATAACTATCATACAACTATTAAGTATTGGGTAATATATTTGTATGAGGTCACTTCATGAGACAAAACTTTGTGTTCTCCCATGCCACACCAAAATTTCTCCAGTCTCTTCTATAATAACAACTTCTGAGAGTTTCTGACCCCATGAGCTCTGGTCCAGGGATCAGAAAACCAAAGCTCCAGTGGCAGCTCCCCACTGACAAGTCTGCTGACCCCAAGCCCCCTGGAGCGCTCTGAACCCAGGTTTTCTACTGTTTTAACAATCACTTGAGACAGGGGAGCTCTGCCAGTGGCATCATTAGGAATCTCCAAACTGTCTCCACTTCCAAGATTGTCGATTTCATTTTAACTTTATTTTGGTTGTTTGCAGGTTCCGGTCATTTAATTAGGTGATATCATTTTAAATGCACAGGGTTAGAGCAAAAAGCAAAAGTCACTTGTTTATTCATTCAAGAATATGCTTGAGGGCTTACAACCACCAGACACTGACTGTTTACAGTGGGCACTCTGTACCAGACACACCTCCTGGTCACTTGCAACAATCCTATGAGGACAGGGTTATTGGTACTACTGCTATTATTATTCGCATGTTAAAACTAAAAGCATGAACTCTGGAGCCAAATTCCCTGGGGGTTCACTCTGTGACAAGTTACTTAGATTTCTCTGTGCCTCCATTTCCCCATCTGTAAAACAGGGAGTGCTGATAGCATACATTATAGTCTCCCTGTAAGATGAGTTAACATACCAAGGCCAACAAGCACCAGATATAATTCTTGTCAGGAAACTTAGATTAATCAACTCAAGCCTTTGCCACAGTTAGAGCTGCAGCTAGGACTACAGCTGTTGGATTACAAAATCTGAGTTCCTAACAAGTGGTGAGAACCACTCAGCCTCTCAAAAAGTAAAAAAAAAAAAAAAAAGACAGAATGCTGCCCAAATCAAAAGGCATCAAAGGCACTCACTAACAAGGCATTGGAGGCTGGCTGGTAGCTTTCCCTCTTTTCATCACTTGAATCATTTCCAGAAGCAGTAACTCAAGCACAAACAACTGGAGGCACTCTGCCTTACAAGAGAGCAGGCAGCACCTGCAAGGATATTTCTCCCCTCACTGGCCATGGCACCTGTCACCCCTCATCCTGTCCTCTTAGTCTGTCACCACACCTGCTCTTACTGCTCTGGACTTCAACTTCCAGTTTGGGAAAACTTTATACAGCCAAAGCCCATCCTCTACTCTGTGCCTTCCAGTTAACAGGGATGGGTAGAAGGGAGGGGTGAGCCTATTTTGGAAGGCAGGTCGGGATTTTGCCTTGCCCCACCCGGTGGTCCTAACTTATTGTGTGGCTGCCCTGGCCTTCAGCATTCTGGTATTTTCCCTTGACGGTCACTGGACAGGTTTGGGATATCACTCAGATTAGCTTACAAGGGCGGGGGGGGGGGGGAGACTACCCTTAAAATAAAATAAATAATAAAGCTGTGTGCCCCTACCAAATAAGGACCTGGGGCGGGGGAGCAAAGGGGGTGGTGTTCCTAGTTAGGCACTGGTGAGTTAGTGCAGTTGGCAGCCATGAGCGCCCCAGGCATCCCGGAGACCCCCCAAGGCACTAGGTGACAGGCCCTATCCCACCTTAGCTTTCTTCCCTCGCCCCTCGCTTCCAGGGTATCAGAAGCCAGCCGGTCCCGGGAGTCCCCGGTCGCCCAACAGTTTGAGCAGCCAGGCGGGGTGGGGCAGCGCTGGGCGCCGCCTCCCTGCATACCTTCTCTCCCCGTGGAGCACGTAGGAGCTGCGGAAGAAGCCCAAGAGCTCGTTCTCGATCAGAGCGTTGTAGATGATCTTTAGGTTGTAATTCCTCTGCGCGTCCAGGGTCCTATTGAGCACCACCACCAAGACCTGGGTTTGCGGGTACAGGAAGAAGCCAGCCACCGGGACCGCCCCGGCCACCCGATCCTCCGCCACCTGCACCTTCTCGACTGCCACCCGGGAGGCGTGCAGCACGACGTAGCGGGTGGCGTTCCGGCACGCGATCTCCACGTTGACCTCCCCAGAAAAGGTGAAGTTCTCCATGAAGGCTGTGAGCATCAGATTGTAGTGCAGCGGCTTGAGGTGGCCCGACAGGCGCAGCTGCGTCCAGGGCTGCCACTCCACCTCCGACGGCGGCTGCGGGGACGGGGTCCCGGGGGTGGCCTCCCGCCTGCCTCGGGCTGCGAGGCGTCCTCACCCGCGTGGTGGTTGCCTCGGGTCGCGCCCGGGAAGCTCGCGTTGCCGCCGCGCGCAGGGAAGCCCGCGGGGCCGCCGTCGGCGCCCGGGGTGGCGCCTGCCCCGCACTCGTCGAAGCGCAAGCTGAGCAGCACGGCGAGCATGGTGACCGCGAGCAGAGCCACGATGGACACGGCGAAGGCCAGCACGAGTCGCTTGTGCACCGTGATGTGGCGCTCGGTGGTGCGGGGTCTCACCCCCACGGAGTCCGCCCACGGGTCCGAGAGCCCCCTGCCGCCGGCCCGGGGCGCCGCGTCGCTGTCGCCCATCCTGGCTGGGAAGGGTGAGCTGCTCTTCTCAGCCCCCTCCTCCTTCTTCTTTCTCTTCTTTTTCTTCTTCTTCTTTTTCTTCTCCTCCTCTTGCTCCCCCCGCTCCCCGTCCAGGGCCATCACATTGCCTCCTGCTCCTCCCCCGCCCCCTCCCGCACCCCCGCGGGCGGGCCACCGGGGCCGCCGCCGGCGCAGGCATCAGAGAGCGCACGCGGGCGCAGGGCGCGACGCCAGCTGGGACCCTGGGGATGCTGCTCGGGGTTCTTTTAAGATGGGCTCTGGCCGCAGGCGACGGCCACCCGGGAGCCCCCATCAGCCCCGCCTCTCCCCGTGCACCCCCGCGCGGCCCCGGCGCTGGGCTGGAAGCTCTGGGACGCGCCCAACTTGGAAAGCGTCTTTCTCGTCCAACGCGCGCTACTTCTCCGGCGGGCGCCGAGCGCCTGGGCACAGGCTGCCCCCGCCCCCTGTGCGCCTGCGGCTCCCGGCTTGCCCTCCCCTGCGCGGTGCTTCGCCTGGCTTTCCGCGGGAGCCTTCCAGGCGGTTCTCCACAGAAGCGGTGGAGAGGGAAGTTAGGGCTGCCGCTGGCTCTCCCCACTCCCGAGGCGGCGTTCAGTCCTCTGGGCGGGATGAGCTCGCAGCAGCAGTGGCCGCAGCAGCAACGGATGCGCCCAAGCCATGCACCCCGCAGCAGCAGCAGCCGGGGACGAGAGGATGACCGGGAAGGAAGAGATGGGGGTGAGCCTGCCGGGTGAGGTCCCAGGGCCGCAGAGCTGTGCCGGGAATCTGTCCTGGAGAAGCCTTGTCCTCCACCCTCTACACTTTAAGCAGCAGTAGAGGCAAAAGGCATGAGGTTGCAGACCGGACAGCTCGCCTCGCTCGTTCCAACGTTGCTCTGACCTCCGGAGATGACAAGTGAGCAAGAAGTGTCCAGCCGGGCCATCCCCTTCAGGTAGATGCAGCTCCGGCTTTGCTCGGTATCCCTGTCGGGGAAGCCGGAGTGCGTGTGTGTGAGTGCGTGTGCATGTGCATGTGTGTGCGCGTGTATGTGTACACAGAGGCTCCGGGTCTAGATTGCCAAGACTACTCTGGCTGCATTCAGGGACTGAAACTCCCCGAGAAAGGCAAAGGAGAGAGCGAGAGAGCGCGAGGAGGCAGGGCAGGCGGGAGGGAGGGGAGCGGCTGAGCGGCAGAGGCAGGCGCTGGGAGATTAGCAAGCTTTTCTCCGCTCTGTCACACCAGACACCCACAGCCACAGAGGGGGTTGCTGAGCCGCCTGCTAGAAGTACATTGTAAATCTTCAGAGCAACAAGCCCCGCAGTCACCCCTCTTGCCGACTCCTTAGCCCCATCGCACCTCCCGGTTGGGGGGTGTGGGGGGGATCTTGGGAGCCTTTGGCTCTTGACACCGCGAGCAAAGCGAGATCCTGCTGCGGAGTTGGGGCTGTGTCAGCCTTCACATGGAGCTCACCCGAGGATTTGGAGGACTGTATGTAAATTGAAATAAATTCTCCAAAGCCTGTCTACATATATTATATTGTGTGACGTGTCCAGGTGTGCAGTATTAAAATAATGGTTCTCATTGAAGCATTAGATTCCTCCTCCGGAAGTAAAGGCTAAAGAAAAGGGATGTTTTTCCCCTTCAGATAATTTCTATTTTTAGATTGGGGAGATGATTAAAATCTTACTGCCTACAGTATAATATTCAGTACCCAAAACTTGACTGAAGAAAGCTGGGATATGCGCTCCACTACCTTAGACATACTAGAAGGGTGAACAAATATATTTCATGATTGATCAGTTTTTCACTTCAGTGGCCACAGTTACTTTTTTACAGTTTTCATTGTCATCGTGAAAATTGCTTAAACTTTTTTAGAGCAATTGTCAGTAGGAAATGTTTGCTGGCCACAGGAGGATTTAAGCAAGTTCATAGACCATTGACTGGTTATGGCTGATATCAGTTTACAAAAGTTTTCAATTATAGTGCAGAGTGTGTACTAGTATGTGGGATATCAAACCCTCAGAAATTGCATGGAGAACTCTAATTGGAACAATATTTAGAAAGCAGCAACCACAAAGGTAACAGTTAACAGGTAAGCATCTCTAAATTTTAATAAAACAAAATCTGATGGGCATCAAGTCAAAAAAAGGATAAAATAAAGAATAAGCAAATGAAGTAATTCCTTTTTACATGTTTCTTTAACATTTTCAAACCCTAGAGGCATTTAAAAAAGCACGCCCATAATTCTTTTTCTTACAATAAGGAATGTTTAACACTACTGGCATTAGAGTCCTCAAAATACATAATCAAAATATTGTGTTTAGCTTTAAAAGCATGAGCAACTACAACCTAACAACCACTGAAAATAGCCCTACTCAATGAAGCTATTTTCCCACCTATTCCCAGATGGGATACATCCCCAGTGCCATACATTCTAAAAGTCCGTTTGAATCATTTTTAAATGATAATGAAAATAACTGCCAGGGTAGGTTTCTTTTTTTTTTTTTTAAGCATGTTGTATGTGGGCCGTTAGCAACAGACCAAGGGAAATGCCACATTCTGTTCAAGTTACTTTTTTCTGCTCTGTTTTTAAATCTGCATGCTCTTGATGTCCATATGTATCTGGCTATATGCATTTTAAGAGCTGAGGAGTTGGAGTTTATTCGTTTGTTTTCCCAGAATCAGGATATATAGTACAGGCAAGCAAAAAGAGCCATACGATTCTTAGCAGTTTCTCTCATTTCTACTAATCTGGCGTTTCAGGATATTAATCTAAAATACATGGATTCAACTCAGTTGAACTATAAGAGAGGCCTAGAACCACTCACCAAAAGTCTGAGAACCACTACTTAAATGAAAAGGTTACCCTCTAAGGGCCTTTAAGATCTTCCTTTAAAAAGATGCCAATCAAGAAAAGATTCAAATTGGGCTTTTTCTATTACTTTATCAATCTTTATCTGTACTTTCAAAAAATTACTACAAGGCAATTCTCAAACACTTCAGGATTAAACATACATTTTCCAATTAGTACAGTCTCTACTGACTATAATTAAATTATATATGGCTCTTTTAAGACCTGAGCAGAGTGGACACCAGCTTATTAACAGAGTGGATATAACACCAATACACCCAATAAGAATGTCAATGTAATGTCATATCGATCTTACAAAAGGGACCCAGTAAACTTTTTTTTTAATTTCTGAAAGTTTTTAGCTCCCTTTCCCTGAGAAGCATGCATTTTGGTTCAATAACTCTTTAATATTATTTTTCTAGAGAATATTCAGTGTACCCACAAACCAAAAAAAAAGGGGGATATTAAAGACATGACTCACTCATACTCCTGTAGAGAAGTTTCCTTTGGTGTTTTAGGTCACTAAATTAGAGATGGTTTTGACTTTGTCAATGCTGGAAGCATGCAGTAGAATAAGACTTTCCAAAGTGCCTGACACTCTTCTCAGAAACACAATGTTCATATAATTGTATGATTGTTTTATTTAGCTAATAAATGCCTTTAAAGCCATATTGTGACCATTTTGATGTAAGACTTTATAAAAATGAAAACAATATGAATGTTTAATATAAATGAGATCATACAGAAGTTATTTTTAATTATATCTAGACCTCAGTCCTATTAGTAATCAAAATGAATCTGCTGGCTTCAGAGTCTTTACTCTTTGATCATATACACTCAAACTGCTTCTTTTTACACTGATTTATATGTAGAGACACAACTTTAGTGCCCTTATGTACTCAGCCCCTTCAAGTATGATTGCCGTTTCACATTCAGGAGCAGTTTGACTCCAGAGAAGGAACTAGATTCCAGTCTGCCCTCACCTCCCCACATTGAAATGTACTGGATTTAGGCTAATTAAACTTAGAGATTTCTTCTAGTTCTGAAATACTGTGAAAGAAATTCTGAAGGTAACACATCAGTGTCTTCATATTCTCAATGGCTTTTTAAGTAATCTTTTCCACTGAGAAGCAAAAACAATTCAACCAATAACTAAAAGTTACAAAAAAAAAAAAAAAAACCCACTGTACTAGCAAAGTATGAAGGGCCTGGGGGTACAAAACACCCCTGCTGCTCTAGCAGTGAAAACAGGACTGATCACATTTTTGAGAGGGCTGTGTTGCTGAGATCTCACCCAGTTGGAGTCCAATGATGACAATGACCAATGATGACAATGGTCTCTGTGTACCAGATAAAGTGGTGCTGCTATGTGGTAACAAAAAAAAAAATTTTAAAAAGGCAATTTGAAATTTATAATTGTGATCATTTGGTGAAGTTTTTATTTGGGAAATTCACATTACTTCAAACTTTATTCATGTTGCTATATTGCATCATTTCAAAATTGCCTACCATTTGGCCAAATTATCACCAATGTTGAGGGATTCATGCAAGAATCACCCTTTTAGATGTACCATCCCTCATGATGTTGAATATGGAAGAGGAGAGTTGTTTAATATTAGCCGTAACTCAGACAGTGCAATTATGTTGGCAAAAATATAGTGTGCCAACAATAATTAATGCCTCCATTTAATTGCTAGTTGTTTGACTTCTGTTTCTAAAAAAGATTAATCTGAGTGGAAATTTTATCTAAAATTGATTATCTTTTTTCCTCATGTAAAAAAAAAATCCCTAATTTAACATATTGCTGTATGTTATTCCTATGAAAGTCTCATAATTATGCTTACACCATGACAAAACATGTCTTACAGCATAAAAAGGATCTCTCTAGATGACAAATATAAGAAAAAAACATAGCCTAATACCCACAGTGTCATTCTCAATTCTAGCAATAAATGCTTATCCAAAGAGGAGAGAATTAGGAACTCAAGAACATTGTGTTGTTTTTTGGCAATTCCTAAGTTTAAACTCTTTAATGTCACTTTTGGCTTTTTGCTCTATGATCTGGATAAGATAGTTCCATAAAAAGATGAGTAATGTATCCTGAAAATGTTTGCTGTTTACACATGAAACCTGCAAGCAAAATGTATACCAAATTCCACAAACAATAGAAACTGGGTAACTTTTCAAAGATGCTTCTGTTGAACTAGTCAATTTGTCTGATAGCTAAAAAAAAAAAGCAGAAATAGTAAATGTACCAAAATAATTTTCCATA